AGCGCTCAGTGGCTCACGGTGGGTGGGGGTTGGAGGAGGGGGATGGGAGGGATCTGAAACCATGAAGCATCTTCGAGCCTTTCTGAGGATAGGAAACAGATCCATCTGAATGCCAGTTTCTAGACTGTATCAGCTAAACCTTGCTGGCTTCAGGCTTCGCTTAGACAGTGAGTTCTTCACTTTAAAACCAAGGAACTCTCTGCATGGAAAAGCCCTATTTCCTTTTATATCTGTTGGGTCTCATGCATTTTTAAAACCACTAAACCTAGAGGCGAATCCTTACAAATCTCAGGGCACTGCCACTAAAAAAGAAACCAAGAAACCTCCAAGGCCACAGCAGCCCTGTCTTGAAACCCGGTTGTAGAGCACCTTCACACAAGAATGGGGTCAGGATGCTGGCCTGGACTTAATGCTGGCAGGAAAGCACGAGAACATGGAAATGTTAGCTAACAGGAAAACTACAGAGAAGAATCAATCTCCTCTAGAGAGGGTGCCAGCTCTCTTGGAGTAAGCTGCAGACACATTTGGGGAGCGAGTCAGTAAAATTCCACTGATTCACCATAGAGCCAGTTATTTTTATCATTCTGCTTACCCATAAATAGAAGGGCATCTTATATGTAGGCCAGCAGACCTTATAAGCACCTACTCACATTTTAATGCAAATGAGAATGGAGAAAGGAGGGAAGAAACCGGCAAGAAAATTCTCCTTCACTACTTAAGAGTTCTTTTACACACGTCTTCTGGAATAAGTCCTATCTCAATGCAGTAAAATCAGACCTGGTAAAAACGGTCAAAGCCAATTGGAGGCCTCCTCTTACAAACAAGTACAAGCCGTGTGTGAAATATGGACCACAGTCCCTTCTGCAGTTCTCTCTCCTCCACCAGAAAGCCTGCTCAGTCTCTGTCCAGCCCCATCTAGTGGAAATAGAGCCTTCAACTAGTACATGCAATCTTGAAGTCTGACATTGGAGTGGTTCTGGCAGAAAGGGACAGACACCATGACTCAGAAAATGCCTGTCCTGGGGCGACTGGGTGGCTCAGTCAGTTAAGCTTCTGACTTCAGCTCAGGTCATGATCTCACAGTTTGTGAGTTCGAGCCCCGTGTCGGGCTCTCTGCTGACAGCTCAAAGCCTGAAGCCTGCTTTAGATTCTGTGTCTCCCTCTCTCTCTGCCCCTCCTTTGCTCGTACTCTCTCTCTCTCTCAAAACTAAATAAACATTAAAAAATAAATTTAAAAAGAGAAAATGCCTGTCCTCTTTAGCAAGGGTCTAAAGGAACATCTACTCCCACTGCTCCCCTCTGCATACGTGACATCATCACCATTTAGATTCTGAGGAATGCAGTCAAGAACCTTCTACAACACCCACCTTCCCTTTCTGAGTTGATGAAGGTATCAAGGCGAGCATCTGAAGGTACAAAGCAGAGAAAATCTAGTGGCCCCCAGACACCAAAGCAAATCCAGAGGTGAGAAGTAATCTCAAGACTTGTAAGACCTGCCACCCCGCCCTTCGCCCCCCTCTTCCTCAACTCTGAGTCCTACTCCAATCATTTCCAGACACTGCCTGGACACGACAGGTGGTGAGTGAGGCCAGAAGCCTATATCTGGAAAGCTGGTCCAGGAGATGCAAACTTCCCAGCACCCCCACCTGGCCCAAGGAGCAATGCGGCATCTGGCTAACTCCTTCCTGGTCTAATTCCCATCACCTGGGGGACAAGTGAACTAGTACACGGAATGTGACAACTCTGCATTATTTCTGACACACACGGTGTAATAACCGCCAGGTGCTACCTCCTTCTCTGGGAAGACTCCCCAGATAACCCTGAACTAGCAGCATCTCTCCGACCTAGGCACTTTTCTACCCACACATCTTTCTTTTTGGGCCTACTTGGCATGCGTGAGGCAGTGGTATGTAACAGTCTGGCTGGTGGCCAGGTAAGCGGTATGCAGGCAAGTCCCAGACTGGACCAACAACCCCTTGTGACCAGAAGCCACAACAACCACAAGAACCATCCTAAGACCTAGGAATACCACCAGCTCATATATTTCCTCCCATAAAATGTAAAAGCAACAAACACAAAATACCGACGCACCACGATGTGATGTGGATTCTTGGAGGGCATCTGGAGCCGCTCATTAGCCAGCTAAAAAACTGGCTCTCACATACCAGCCTCAGGATTCCAATCAGTGCCTCACCAAAACTACGGATACGTGCCATGGCCTCCAGGGCTGTTCGATGAGTTAAAAGCTTTTGACTGCTTGGGGCGCCTGGACGGCTCAGTTGGTTAAGCGTCCAACTCTTGGCTTTGGCTCAGGTCATGATTTCACGGTTCACGGGTTCGAGCCCCACGCTGGGCTCTGTGCTGACAGGTCGGAGCCTGCTTGGGATTCTCTGTCTCCCTCTCTCCCTGACCCTCCTCCACTCATGCCTACTCTCTTTAACAATTAATAAACTTAAAAAAGAAACCTTTTAAATGCTAAATTCATAACAAACAAGTCCACTGTTTCTTCTTAATCAGCTCAAAAGTGAGCCTTCTGAGCACCTAGTACCTAATCCTGACACATAATCCACTAAATACACATTTGTAACATGTTATGTGGCTATGTGCAGTGCACACACAGAACTTACCAAATGAACAAAATGCCTGGTACAAACATAACGGGGTGGTGATCCTAGAGGAGGACTGGCTGGTCAAGAGGACATCAGACCGCCGACATCTGCCACACCACTCGATTTTAAATCTTTATCCAGGTAACTCCAAGATATATTAGCCCCTCATCTCTTTTACCAAAGCTCACTGTGAGGAGTATTAGTGAGTGTTACAAAAATAAAAGATAATGGTCAAATAAAGTTGACAAATGAAGGTATCTAACTGAAGAGCCTCTCACCATCAGTACACTGACGTGTACTGCGCATTTCTAGAAGGATCAGACCGTGCAAGGGTTCCCACATCTAAATGCTCTTTCTCTTTCTCTCTCTCTCTCTCTCTCTCTCACACACACACACACACACACACACACACACACACACACCATTTTTTGGTGGAGCATATCTGTATAACTAGTATTTCAGAGATCACGCTTTGGGAAATATTACCTTAAACAAACACCTATCAGACATTGATTAATTCCAGAAAAACAAGCTTAAAACATGAACCTCTCCAACTGGGAGGTTGGAGCACATACATACATCACACTTAAAGAATGCTGCTCTTCCTCTGCTGACGCGTCTGAAAGTACAAGAACCTGAAATAAAACTGCTAAATGTAAATGAACCAAGAGATCCAACAGAGTCTTTGGTGGGGCACGTGTGCCGCATCAGGAGTCCGGAACGTAGGGCTAGATGTCGCCAGCAGTTCTGGCTTAGTTCCAGGGGAGTTCCTCCAGGGTCTGAACTGATCCCATCCACAAAAGAAGAACAGCAGCACCCAACACCAGCAGTGCACACAGAGAGCAGTTCTCAAAGTGTGGTCCTTGGACAGAGGCATCAGCACCACCCAAGTACTTGCAGGAAGTGCAAATTCTAGAATGCTGGTCACACCAACCCTCAACAAAGTCAAATCGACCACTTGGCAAAGGGGCAGAAGAAAACACTCCTATGTCCATCCCTGAAAACACCTGGATGAGGAAAGAGGCTTCTGTCCCTGCTCAGTGCCTTCCATCAGAGACCTGGCTATAATTCTTAGCTAAATTTTATATGCTTCTCTCTAAACAAAAAGGCAAAATAATGCACAGCCTTGCTGTTAAAATGAAGCCCCTTTGTGGTTAAGTTAAAAAAAAAAGTTATACACACAATCTCCATCCCTCACTGTTTTCGATTGTGGGAAAGGAATGGCCACCGTGCATTTCGTGTTGCCTAGCAACACCGCAGGCACTCTCTTCAGAGGTGTTCTCAAGAAGCTGAACACTAGCACCAAACAAGGTGAAGCAATCGAAAGATGAAATCGGCAGTACATGCTATGCCCTGGCAGTAAGTTTAAATGCAGTAAGAAAGCCTCGGTGTGCGGCGTGACTGCACACAGGCCTCTCCCGTGCACTGCACTTGCACAGGCCCACCAGCTCCACGTGGGTAAGAGCAGCACCATCCGACACCCCATGCTGTCCGCAGAGCACATCCAGAGATGGCCTCACTCAATGCCCATGACAACGTGGACAGGAGAACCACCACCCAAGTTCAAGTATTCAAGGAAGCAAGAATCAGAGAAGGTAAAGACTCGCTCAAGGCCACACAGCTGGCAAGTATCAGAGGGAGAATCAGGTCTTCAACTCCTGGACTTTTCCATGACGATGAAAACTGATTCCCATCTTCTCTATCACTACTTCTGGGAAACTCAACAATATGAGAAAATTCCTCATCCAAACCAGAAATCACGAATGTAACAATAACACCATCAGGATTCAGAAAAGCTTCAAACCAACTGACTGAGCAAAGTGGTATCAAAGAATTTCTACAAGGAGGGTTAGTACTACAGAATCAAATCTTTGACATGTTTGGGGAAGCTGCTATATACTAGATGAGAAAAAATTTCCTACTAGAAAATTGTGATTATTGTTTGGAGTACATAAAACAACCATTTCTCTATTCTGAGTCATATGCATTAGTCAAAAAGAGCACCTTTTGCTTCTTACCTGCAACCCACATATTTACAAAGGATGCACAGAGTATGTGCACAGCACATTGCTCACGAAGGTGTTCTAAAGACAAAGCTAAAGAAATGTCAACAGAAAACCGTGCTTAGGATGACAAGAAAAGTTTCCCACAATCAAAAGCTTAGACACCTGTACTCCCAGCATGACTTGTTTTTGTACTCTGATTATGGTTTATTACAGGCCAGCTTTACTCTAGCCCCATTTGATACACAGCATGGCTAGAGTGTGGACCTGCACGCCACCTGGCACAAAGGCGATATACTGAGAAATTGTAATAGTTAAATATAATAATACTAAACAGTATTCTTTACAGCCTATCAAAGACTTTTTCAAGATGCATGTAGACACTTACCCTCCTCTACTGTGCCGCTGACCGTGGGCAGAAATCTTATAAGGCAGTGCTCGGTCACCCAGATTTTCCAAGTTCCTCACTACCGCCCCTCTGTCCATCAGGGCTTCTATTGTACGTTTCAAAGCAGCAGCGGTCTCTGGCTGTTTTTTTGTTTTCATTTTTAAAGAGAAGAAAAAAACACATCAGAATCAACATAAGAACTAGAATGATAAAGCTTTGTCAGTTCCAATCATAACAGCTCTATTGGCAGGGAAAAAGGCAACAGAAACTGTCTTGCTAACTTAAAATTTAAAGAGAGAGACATTTAGTGTAAGGATATGAGATAGCTCACAGGTAATGAAGGAAAATCTGAAGAACCAGGCCTCGGAGAGTTCGGGAACCAGAGCAGCTCCTGGGATCTGGGAGGCAGGAACTAATAAATGGCTTCTTCAGAGCACCTTGGCCAGGATGAATCCACGCCAATCATTGTCAATCCTCGTATCCCATGACTCAAAATCTAAATTCCAGAGGAAGAGCACCCCATCCTCTGGGCAGGACACTCTGATTGGCCATCCCACCAGAACCACAGCCAGGGGGAAAGGGTGGTCCCCAAAGAAAAATAGGCAGATTAGAACCAAAGGGGTTGGGCGGGGGGGGAGGATGATTAAGATTCCATCTCTGCTCTTGTGGAGCTTACAATCTAATAAAGGGATTAACACAAAAAACCCACGTTAAGAAGACCAGAAGGCAGAACACAGAAGTGACATAGGGGCTGGAGAGCCGTTCAGTTGTGAAAATGACTGCATTAAAGAAAAGCTCATTTGAGAGGAGCCCTGCAAAATGACAACGGGAGATGCAAAGAACAAATGAAACTAGCGCTGAGTGAAAGAGCAAAGGCAAGAAAGTCCAAGCACATGGAGGAAGTAACTAGGACTTCCACCAGATGAAGACCGGGACACAGGGGGGCTGGGAGGTGACAGGCTGGGTACAGTATACAAATACAAAATACTTATTAGAAAAACAAAATTCAAACAATATAAAATCTCACCACCCAGAGATAAAAAACTTCAAACATTCTGATGAATTTCTTTCCAGATCTCTCTCTTTACATATGTATATACCAAAGAATTTTGGAAGCAAATAATATACTTTACAGGGTAAACCTGAGAAGATGTGGCTAATGTAATGTGGAGAATGAGGCCGAGACGTGGCAAAAGAGGGGTGTCTAAATACAGTAGCTGGAAAAACAGTATTGTTGCTAACAGCTAATGCGAAATCTGGAGGAGCTGGTTGGGGACAAGAAAAGACGGATTTGGTTTAAGACATGCTGAGTCTGAGATGCCTACTGCTCCTCAAGGTTGACCTCTCAAAATGTAAACTTAAGTCAAAACAACAGGGAGGGTTAGAATTACCCATTTAATAATCATCTACACAGGAGGGCTGTCTGAAGCCTTAGGAATAGGGAGATCAAGGAGAGAGGGTACAGGGGAGGGAAGAGATCAACAGAACCTTGGGGAACACAACCATCTGGGGCTGACCAGGGAACTCAAAGTCAGAAAAGCCAACAGAAAAGGTAGTCAAACAGTAAAAGGAAAATCAGGTCCACGTGGTCAGAGAAACTAAGGGATGAGGCAGACTTCAGAACAACAGGGTAGAGGGAGAAAATGAAGACAATGCCATCGTGTGCTGGCTGCATGGTCACACTACTACGGGACAGGGCTAGAAGACGGATGGCAAGTTTCTACCATGCAGGTGTGACAGCAAGAAAGAGAGAGAAACAAAGCCAGGGCCCGAGGGGCAGTCAAGTTTGAGCAGAGTATCCTAGGAGGCAGAACACATGAGCACGTTAATAAATGGGAATGAAACAAGGGAAGAGGATAAAACGTACACTGTTTTTAAATAACAACCGTGGCAGTGGCAAGTATGACCGCGTAACTGCTGCAAGCCCAGCACTGGCCTACTATGTACTGTCATATATTTAATCTTCACTGAATAAAATACAATGAAGGTTTACAGATTTGGAAATTGGGTCTCTGAGGGATGCCAGGACTCTGAGATGCCATGGCCGCCAGTAAGCGGAAGAGCCTGATGCAAGGGAAGGAACACCAGTGCAGTAAAATCGGGGGGGCAGGGGGGGGGTTTGAAGGGGAGAGGTACGCAAAGGGTGCCAGAGGACACCTCAGCATGGAAAAGGGACACTTCTCAAAGACATAACTAAAGGGATGCAGATAAAGGGATCATGAAGCGGAGGAATGAACTTCAGAAAAGGCTACCTTCCAGTGGCTCATTTAAGATCAAATGAAAAGAATAATGCAGAATAATTTTAAGTGAGCACTTCAGGAACCAAAGAAAACCCACCATTCCTATCAATTTCCTTTCTGAGGAATTCTGTTAAAATGCTGTGAATGCGCTATTAGTTTAAGGTTTACAAACAAAATTTTTACTTTCATTTCACACTGTAGCCCACTGGGGATTTTTTAAATTCCTACTGAAAATTATATGTATGTATTTAACTTTTTTTTTTAATATTTCTTTATTTTTGAGAGAGAAGGAACAAGAACAAGCAGGGGAGAGGCAGAGAGAGAATCTGAAGCAGGCTCTGCGCTGGCAGCACAGAGCCCTACGTGGGACTCGAATCCATGAACCGTGAGATCATGACCTGAGCCAAAGTCAGACACTTAACTGACTGAGCCACCCAGGCGCCCCTAACTAACCTTTATAAACAAAAATTTCCTGCAAACAATAAAAATAGGGGCCCAAACCCCTTCACATTAACACCAACTAGGTGAAAAGTCTGTGGCAATTTCTCCTTATGATTGTACACTAACGTATTTTTACTACAGTTCTAATCAACATGTAGACTAAATTCTTCCCACATTTCGTGAGTTCACAGACATTTCCGTATTTCTGCAGAAGCCTCATTACTAACAGCAGGGTAATAATTCATTTCATCAACAATGCCATTTCTTGACCCGGTATTACACCAATTAACTTCTGATACTTGGCAGACAAATAGTCTTTCCAAATAAAGAAATGGGTAAGGTTTAAAAAAAAAAATAAAACTTTGATGGTTTGCAGTCTTCTGATTAGCTACCCAAATCATAAATTTTAATTTCAGCTTTGCCTGATTAAAAAAAAATATATCTCAATAACTCTTGTCATGTTTAAATTCCAACTGCAGTGTTTACAGTATGAAACATGGAGCACCCTCCTCTGAAGTAAGAGCCTCTAAAATAAAAAAATTTTCTTCTATCCAAAAATAGAGTAAAGTTACCTAAAAAGAATATAACTCAGGAAAATGTCAAAACATATTTTGTTTGACTTAGTTATGTCAAGGTCAAATTGTAAACTGCTGGAATAGCCACATTCATTTCATGGTAATTTCACAGGCCCCAAAAGTTTTAAAACAAAGATGAAAGAACAAAAATATTTCTTATTAGGGGAGCTCCAGTGGTCCCATATACCTACCTCATCACTCAATATCAGGGGTCAAGTGAACGAGGGCCTGTGGGCCTTCTGCCTCAATACCTGTTTTTGCAAATAAAGTTTGATTGGAACACAGCAGCTCATGCATTTAAATAGTGTCCATGCTGTTTTCATGCTAAAGGCAGATCTGTAATTATATCTGAGACTGCATGGCCTGCAAAGCCGAAGTTATTTACTGTCTGGCCAACCTCTGCTCCATATTGTAATGGACTGACAGATGCTAGCAAGGCCTCAATCTACTAACCCTAAGATGCTCCACAAATAAAACCATGAGCCTGGGCCAGAGGTATGCAGACAGAGAATTCCCCGTGGGATAGGTAATCAGGTAGACACATGTGACACCAACGTAACGGAACAACATCAGCCTGGCTATTCAAATCACCTCACAGGATTCACAGAAGTGACTGCAAATTCACCATTCCAAGCTCCTAGTCTCCTCACCAACTCAGAATGCCAGTTGCAGCTCTCCTCATCTGGGGAAACCTACAGCTCTACTGAAGTTCTTAGGCTTCAAAACAAAGCCAAAAGTTCTCCTTAATCCAATCCAGCACAATTTTCAATTTGTAAGAACATATGGTCTACATGAAGTAAATGATCTTGGCTGCCATAATTCTCATTCACAAGGTCTCTGAACCATTGAATTTAAACTATTCTAAGAAAGGTTGCGTGTGCTTCTCCTGGGCTTCTCCCATCCCATCTGAAAGCAGCTCCTTAAAACTTTCCTTCAATCCACCATATGGCAATGAAACACAATTTTGGCAAGGCACAGACTGAGGGGCTAAAAACGTTCAGTTGAAAAAAAACTATGGAAAAGAAACAATGAATGAATGTTAATGGGAACTAGGAAGACTGGATTCCAGTCCCAGCTCATTCACAAATAAGTTACAACCCTGGGTGAATTTTAAAATTTCCCCATTTTTAAACATGTGCCTCAGTTTTCTCCTGTGCAAAATCAGTGGTTCCAACCAACAAATTTTGTGCCTCTACAAGCTTCGCACATTTATACTGTAATTCTCAAAATATCCTAGCGGCATACAAAAAAATCTCCCTCTTTTCTTCTGTACTCATCCTGATGTCCTCATCCCCCAAAAGTGCCCCCCTCCCTACTGTGTCATTCCCATTTATCTCTATACAGCACTTGTGGCCATCTGTAACTATTCTTTCATCGCTAGAATGTAAGTTGCAAGAAAGCAAGGACTCAGCTGTATTCCCAAAGTCTAAACCAGTCCACATATCAGGGGGCGGGCACTAGAAATAGTGGTGAAACAAGTAAATTAATGTACCAATTCTACCTCCTTTGCTTGTTCACTCCCTTTTTTTCTTGAGGAACCCTAAGCTTCTTCAATCTACACTACTATTTGAAGCTACTTTTTAAAGTAGCTCACCATCAGTTAGTAATTGCAATATTGAACCAAAATGACAATATAGTGTTTTCTATTTATTTCACGTAGTGCCAAAATGCTGTTAATACTAATTCGGAAGTCTAAAAGAATCCAGAATTCATCTAACAGAAATGAAACAAAATATTCGTGTATTTCAGAAAGCAAGTTCAAATATATATACAAATATAAATTAAACTCGGACTGCTAATTATTTGCTGATAAAATAAAGTACTAAAAAATTTACACTAAACAATACTTTAAAAAATTCACATTGGGGTGCCTGGGTGGCTCAG